ATTCGGGGAAAGGGACACGGGACCTGACCAAATGTGAGTATTTAACGACCTTGGATTCTTAGCGTTCGGAGAGGGAAGCAGCAAATTTGATGATGTTTGGGCGGTCGACTGCTTCCCAATTGTATCTTTCTTCAATTGCTTGCATTCACTCGGGGAAAAGGACACGGGACCTGACCAAATGTGTGTATTCAACGACCTTGGATTGCTAGCGTTCAGAGGGGGGAGCAGCAAATTTGATGAAGTTTGAGCGAAGGCTTCCCATTATCCTGTGCGCAAGGGTGTTACCGCTTTTGGTCGTGACTTCCTTGCCTTCGCCTTGACCGGAGCGTTCAAAAGAGTTTAGTAACTTCCGGAAGGGTCGGTTCGGCCTTTCACCGCTGCCTGTAAAAAAATAGTCATTTAAACAAGGCGCCTACAGATGGCTGACAGGAATTCTCACAGACCATCGCAGACTTTTCGCTCTGGTCACAGGTACTGCTCACAAATCAAAAATACAAGCAGAAATACCTGACTTCAAGGCATTGCAGCTCTCAATGTTTGAGCGAGGGCGCACTGGGATCGGAACGAAATCGAAGTGAGCGACACACCGACAAGTTAGAAGATGTGAAAGGTGAGAGCATTTAATTTCCGGTGCAGGGAAGCACGTCCCGATCTACACCTGAAGCATCCTGAAACTGTAGGCCCTGTAGGCTTCGCCGTCAAACCCCTGTTGACGTCAGCATTGGCACATACACACAAACGGAAGCCTAGTTTTTGCAATGGAAGAAAACCGCGATGCCGTCCCGTCATTGCTGCCCGTTGCGCGAGCCATGTACGCGCGTACGTCCACCTATACCTCTGATGCGGCTGCTCGAGCGCTTCCTCACTCTCAGTCAGGCCCGCATGCGGGGATGTGGCTGGCGGCGATCCCTTCGGATTCTGCCTCCACCTTCTCGTCATGCACGTAGCAATTAATTAGGCGCCGGCTACGGCTGCCCTTGCCATTGACGGGGCGGCGCTGCGCTCCAGGTCGGCACACCACCTCGCCTGCCCTCGCACGGGCTTGCTGCCCCGGCGTGGCTTTGTAGTCGAGCGCGCAGCGCGCATGGGTTCAGCTCGTGAGGCGGCCGCAAGTCCCGGCCGACGACCGCCGCCGTTTCTCGATTACGAGGCGACGACCGCGATGCGACACTCGTGTCCCCTCACTCGCACGGGCCGCCCAGTGCCTGGGGCTGACGAGCGCGCAGCAGCGGCTTGTCGTGCTCGCCGCAGAGGTCGGGGGCCGCTGGAACGATGAGTGCCAGCACTTCCTCCGCACCCTGCTCCGGCTTCGCGTCCAGCGTGCCCCACCCCGCCTGCGCGCGTCCGCGGCACAGGGCTGCATGGACCCGCCGTTGGTGGGGTGTCTCTCTTAAACGCTAAAAGTAACGCCTTCTTC